TTATAAAATGTTAATGTAAAAAATATATAGGTATGAGAAATATTTTTATAGAGTTGCATGGAGATTTTTTTTAATGTGATGTAATTGATTTAACAAGTTAAAAAATAATTTAAATAAATGTAATAAATAATTTGATTGAAAATAAATATTTAAAATAATATTTTTTTATAAATATTAATATGATAATATATTAAATTGAATTGGGTAAATCTTGATTAACTTTTTTTTTGAGATTGAAATATTTTTATAAAAAAATAAAATAAAAAATTATAAATTAAAAGGTGAAGTTGAATTAAAAAGAAAACAGCATAAATTAAAAAAAAAAAGTCAAAGGAAAGAAACAAATTACTATTCAATGGAGAGGTACAGTAAACCTTTTCCTCTTTTAGTTTTTTGTTAATTGTTAATTATAGTATAATATTTCTTCTACATGGAATCAAAGACTGTAGAGCAGATTTGAATGAAGAGGAAGAATCAAATAGTAGACTAATCAATAGACAACAATGTACCAAAGCTGCCGATATTGACAGCTGGAATCTTCAGAATCGTCCATTTCCATGTCCATGTCCATCTCCATCTCCATCTCCTCATCCTCATTAGTTAAAACAATAATTAAAGTACATAGAGTCAAAAGATAAACTTTACGTGCATTTATTAGCCAATTTCTTACATGCCGTGGTTCAGAGAAAGTAGTCTAGGGCAGTATACACGAAGGTGATGTCTTGAATAACAGACACATCCACAGAAGAAGTCTCGGCTCGAACCTGACCTGCTGTTATCCAAAACAAAAAAATTGCTTTAGCTTTGAGTGGTCAAAATTCCAAGAGTGATTCTCTCAAGTATTCGGTGATCCAACTTTCTTAGATTTTAACCTCTCAAAGTCTTGCTTCTAACCCCGTAAATGGTAATTATTTATCTTGGGCTTGCCGTTCTGTGAAGTCACGGTCAATAAAAAAGTTGGCTCAACAAGCTGAGGTAAAGCTCAAAACCTGAGCTCCATTACAAAAGTCTTTGTTTTTTTACCTTAGACAACGTTTAGTCCGGGCCATATGCTAGGCAGGCTCAGGCCACACGTTTATATCTTTCTTTAACCCTCCAAATCCTGATTCTGTGATTAGGCCTCAAGTTGAAGGGGCCTGGAGTCGGAACTCAATTCGGACGATCAAGAATCCAAACACTGTTTCGCTGATAATGGAGGCCGATAAATCTCAATCCTTTATTCTTTTTCACGATCATTGCAAGGAAACTCTTGCCAAGACCTTGTAAGAAGTGGGGATATGAGGTCGCCCTTCGTTCTTGCTAATCAGATTATTTAGGCAATACTTCGTACACATTAGCTGCAAACAAATTTCACAATTCGCATCCTACATAAATATGGGCTGTTCAGACAGCTAGTTTAGAAAAGACTTCGTTGGCTGGCCTAAAAAAAATGGTAACATGTGATGCGAAGACGCTTTAATTTAAAATACAGTACAACAACAGTTAACTAAACATATGCGCAATGCAGTATAAATTATTAAAAAAATTAATTTTATAAAAAATTAATTTTTATATATTTTAGATTGATATGATGATTTTAAAAATAACTTTTAAAAAATAAAAAAATATTATTTTGATACATTTTAATATAAAATTTTAAAAACAATTACAAATATATTACCTATTAATTTTATCAATTTTTACTATTTACATTGAAAGTCATATGCTGAATGTTGTGTGATTGTTTCAACTATTTGGTATGTAAACTTTTTATATGTTTAGCATATTTTATCAATTATTTTTTATCTTTTTTCTATTCCTAGCACTCGTTTCTTTTCTTTTCTTTTCTAATTAATTACAAAAAATTGAAATTCTATATGTATGTAAAGCCATTCTAAGGGTATTTGTTATGTATGAACACAAATAGTTGTTGACAGTCATGTGATTGCAATGCAAGAGTCAATGGTAGGTGCCTAAACAAAGAAAAATGGTGCCCACCATAATTGACAAAGAAAGAAGATTATCTCTCATATCAGTTATAAATAGAGGGTGCCATTAATAGCTGAGTATCACACGAAATAGAGAGAAACACAAAGAGAGCTATAGTGAGAGTTGAGTTGAGTAAATAAGTTTTTTCTCCTCCTCAATGTTTTGTTGTTTGTATTATTTCTAAGTTTGATTAATACAAACCAGTAGCTCCGTGGAGTAGGCAAGTTGCCAAACCACGTAAATTGATGTGTGTTTGAATGCTTGAATGGTCTAACAACTGGTATCAGAGCTTGTTTTTGAAAAAGAGAGTGTTTGATCCAAACTCAAAAATCAAAGTTCTCAAAACGTGTTTTTGAACATACAATCGTGAAGAGGAAGACGAGAGGAATCCACTGGTGAAAACCCGGTGAAAAACCGATGACCTATATACCTGCACGCGCCGCCGATTGCACTTCCCCCGTGCCTCACGCACTTCACGCATCTTCTTCACCCGATTATCTGCAAACCGAACTGGGTTGACCCAACACGTCAGCATCCATGCACGCAGTTTTGCACAGTCACCATCCATGTCATCTCTGCCACGCCAGCCAGAAATCCATGTGGCTCTTACACGTCATAATTGTGGGGCCCACCTATCTTACATAGCAGACATGTCAGCATATCCACGTCAGCATTCTGGATTTTGATCCAGTGTGGTGCTGCGACTATTCCTCCTGACACGTGGCTTCATCTGCAGCGTCCAGTGATCCAAAGTTTGATTGATAAAATCTGAGCCATCTGAAGTCCGATTTGGGTGATCTCAGTGTCATTTCTAACATTTTTTTGCCATTCCGAACACATCTGTAAGGTCAGATTTTGCATATTTGAATCCGAGAAATATTAAAAATGACAGATGAAATAAAGGCTGCAGGAATTGAAAAATTTGATGGAACAGATTTTGGATAT